ACACGCGGAATTGCGCGAGAAAATTCGATCTAACGAAATTTTTTTTTTTGATGCATTATTTATGATCGCCAGTGTATTCATTACGGTTTGATTAAATGTTAAAAATGTGTTGTATTTGTTACGTTCATATCAAAGCATCGGTTATTTCTTCGAGCATTAAAATAAAGTGGCAATTTTTTTAGACCGGTGAGAAATTTGTTGAGAATTCACATTGTTTATGTTCGATATGCAAAAAATGTAAAAGTAGTGTAAATTTTTGAGAAAAAAGGTGGGTTGTGTCTTGCTGATTTTGTCATCGAAATGGTAACTCATTTGATTCATTTATTCAATTTCCGACTAATTAAAATTTTGCTTCCGATCACTTGATTGAGATGCTTGAGATCGAGCCAATAAATTTAGGCTACAAACACTAATGGTGTGAATCATCTTAGAAAACAAAATTTATCGGTAAGGATTGGTTCACATAATAATTTCATTAAAGATAGTGTTTCATATAGTTTCATATACTATATAAATTATATAAAGTAAAAAAGTTCTCATTTTGTTCCAATATTTTAATAATAGAAACCAAGGTTCGAGCTTTGAATTCATATGTGCCAGGTACTATACGGGTACCTACCTACCAGTGACGATGATTTTCGGGCATTCCACAAACTCTGTTTTTACGGGCAATTTGTCCGATGCTAATCTCAATGCATCCTTAGCAACTTCTCTCCGAATACCTCCACCCCCTACTTCAAATACAATTTTATTCAAAGGAACTCTGCATGCCCAGTATTCTAATGAACCTTTCCCTTTTCCCATCCTGGTTTCGTTTCCTTTACTCGTAACAGGAATATCCGGAAATACGCGCATCCATACTTGCGAGCCCTTAATGACTTTTATCTTGCGCTTGATGGCTTGCCAAGCCGCTGTGAGTTGACTCGAAGACAAACGAACTCCATCCTTCACACGTAAGCCGTAATCGCCATAAACAATTGTGTTGCCCTTAGTCGAGCCGCCCGTGCGAACAGGTACTCGCCCTTTGTGTGCTTTCCTGTATTTTACGCGGCGCGGCGCAAAATCAGATCGAAAACGGTATTGCTTATAGTTACTAAGTGAAATCATTTTATTTAAAGGGCAAAAGGCGTAATTTAAAGCCGACGAAATATGAAAGACAAAACCCTCAGACGAATGGAGGAACCCTTGACGAAAAATACTTCTGGAGAAGGGAAGACGAAACCCTGATAAAGGCTGCATTTACGATAATTTGACTTGTATATTGTGGTTTTTAGATTAGATACAGGAATATACAAAAGAAAACCAGCGCCTAAAAAATTTTATCACAAAATCATATTAATTTGGCCAGAATTTGCGGATTATAATGTTGGCCGACTTTACGTAATTCTGGTCAATCGCAGAATCATGGCATTTTGTCACCGCAGAACTTCTAAAAAGTTAGATACTTAAAAATTCATGTCTAACTGATTTACAGGTAAGTTGTATAATTTGCTATTTAAGATTTATTAAGTATAAACGTTGATTTCTCATCGATTTTATTTTAAATGTGGGTTTAAATGCTTAAGCTATTTACATAACAGGATAATAGGCCAAACTACCATCGTCATGAGGATGCACATTCAATCCGTCACGTTTCAAAAAAAGGAATCAGTGTCCGAAGTTTTACGTTCACTCCACTTGGACTAAAACATAATATTAGGATTCATAATGGGATGAAAGTTGTTACAAAATAAGAGGAACTCAAAATTACAATATAGTTACCTCAAAAAATGCACGAATATCTTGTTCTGTCACTGTCTTTCCAGAATCGCCGAATGGTTTTAAGAATTCGACAAGATCATCTCTGTATTTTAACGAATAAAAGAAAACATGTGAATGGTACATAAAAACATGTACCGTAAACTGCCGGATAAAAGACCCGGGTCTCTTACACTCCACCAAAAAAATTAATTAGTAAAAAAAAGAAAATAATTAATAAAAAATGAGGGTGGGTCTGATATATGAGGGGATCTTGTATCCGGCAGTTTACGGTATTTTATTAAATGTTATACCTTAGTTTGGCATATGCAATCGCCCCTATGAGATAAACTTTTAATCAATCAATGCAGTAAATAACGAATAAATTAAACAGATCGCGTAAAATAAAAACCTTCAATCGCCGTAACTCTATCCATTTGCGCCAATAGTTTCATTCCACTATCAAAAAGCGAAGTATCTACCAATTCATTTTTTTCAAAATAAGATAAGACTGGTACAAGATAAAAAAACGTTTAAATGAATTGATTACACACGCGCATCATCATCATGTGGAGGTTCATAAGTTTCTTCTTCTTGTAGGGCAAATTCTATTTGGTGTGATTTATAAAGATACATACACTAACGAGAATATATATGTCGTTATTTGTAATCTGCCAAATTACTATGATTTGTATTTGTTTTATACCTTGCTGCATCGGCATAATTCGTCACGCCAACTTTGTATGCAAAATAAATCAACATCAATGTTGTCCTTAACAGGTTCCCATCGTTCAAGCTTGCACATATCGCCGCCTTTAGCCTTTTTGGATAACGCGGTAGTTTTTGAATCGATTTCTTGCTCATCACCTAATTTTCTTTTATTTGTGGAAGCAGATGTTTCAACTTGAAATTGGTCATTCTTTGATTTCTTATCATTATCTATTTCCCTAGTTCCTTCATTTTTCCTTATTGTTTGGCCCGAGAAGAACATATGCGAATTTTTATAGGGCTTAAGAAAAGAATGCTTGCTAGTACATGTGCGACAGATATATTCTTCGAAATTATCTAAATCAGGAAGCTACAATAAATCGACCGATATATTAATTTTAGTTCAATGTATTCCAAATTTCAGCTAGTTTATCATATAACACGTAAAATATACCAACCGAAAAATTTTTTTCTCCTTGTTTTTCTCCATTAATGCAATTTTCATGAAACCAATCTTCACACAAAACACACTACAAATGGAAATATGACTTTTATATTTTTTTTCTTTGTTTAGAATTAAATGCATATAAATTATACACAATTTACTTGATGCATATTAGCTTCCTCTCGTTCTGGATCGTAATCAACTTTGCACCTTAAATTTTCGTTTAGTATTCATAGTAATTTAAGGAACCAGTCATATATATGTCTCATAAGATTAAAGAATACAAACCAACAAAACCGGCCTTCAAAATTATGATTATACAAATTGTTTTCATTTAACGCGTCTTGTGACTTTGGTTCTAGTTGACATGCACTTCCTCCAAAACGCGCTGTTCCGCAATCACAACGAAAATTGCGCTTGTTAAACAGCTCGATAAGTTCATGATCTGTAGATAGTTTATCAAAGAGTAAAGAAACAGCCTTGTTCGACAAAAAGCGAAAGTGCTTTCTTTATTTATTGTTACCTGCATGACAGGCAATAGAACAAGAGTAACAAACACCTCCTGGACCAGAACCCGTGCTGGGCTTGCAAGTTTTACAAACATACACAGCCTGACGCAAATGACCCTTACTGTACGTGCAGCGATCAAAATTCCATGGTAGAACTTCTCTAGCTTCTTCTTCTAAACTTTTTTGCAGCTCCAAAAACTCCCCTGCTGTTACTGTATCTTTCGTGTCTTCTGAAGCCATCTCTGAAAGTGCTTTTGTTTATCAAAAATTCTTGAATTTATATCGATATCGGCCATGTGTTTCGAATTTTACTTATCAGTTATTTGTCCCCGTAATACAAGCTCCAAAAAAGGATGACGCCAGGGCGTTTATAGGAGGACATTCGTCTGATTGACTGATGTAAATCAACTGCCCGGGTAACTTATTTATACACTTTAAAGTACGCTCTTGGGACCCACACTTTAATAATGTGCATATAGAGAATAATAAGAATAAGTGCATTTATAGAGGCCAGCACTTGAGAGAGGGTGTGCACTTAGATCGGTCTACGTTTATAGTTTAACGAAGTTCACTATTCGCTGTGTAAAAAAAAATCAAGCTTCCGAAGAACTTGCTTAGAAGACAAATATGGTTACCGTTTATTGGTCTATATAAAATTACTACAGTGATAGCGAAAGTTTGTTTTGTATATGATTGGCAACGATCTTTTTTTATAGTTAATTGAAATTTTTAATTTTTAATAGTTGTGCTATAAACCTTTTTTTTGTAAATATAACAACTATATAATTTGAATCATTTCTAGTTCTTTTTAAACTTAGTTTTTTAATCTAAAATGTAAAAGAATAGGGGCGTGGCGAAGTAGTGTAGTGGGTCGGGTTGTTAGACTCTTACTATACGCCCTAGGTGGCAAATAAGACTAGACATTCGTTGATTGGCTGATGTAAATCAATTGCCCGAGTAACTTTTTAGAATTGAACTAGCCAGTGGGTTATCTTCCAGTACCCACGTGCTATAAAAATTTAATATACTGTAGTAAAATAGCTTTAAAGATAGGGTTATAAATTCTAATAGTAATGTAATTATACAGTATAAAGTTTTTCTAATAAACAAAAAATGGTGCTTATAAAGACACGTCTTGAATGTGTGCCAGGTTGGTGGCGCAGTTGGCCTAAACCTAAGCCCCGAGGCATCACATGATTTTATTTTGCAGTATGCGGGCCCATTTATAAGCCCGAAAATAAGCTACTCCGAAAATAAGCTACCCCTCACTTTTGAGCCAAAAACTCAGAATCCTCTCTTACCCGAAAATA